GATTTGAAAATATAAATCATTGTTTTATTGCTTGAAATAATTTCAAAACTATAAATAAGTCTACAAAACGGATAATAAAGTCTATAATAATATATAAGATTAGGAATAATATATGGGAAAAGTTTTTGTTGTGAAAATCTTTTGAAAAAACTCGTGTCCAATAAATCCTTCGCTTATAAAACACAGACATCAGTGAAAAATAGTTATAAATTATCATAAAATGTATTGAAACTAATGAAAAATTAAACAAAAAACTTATCTGAAAAATACATGAAAAACAATCAAAAAGTCAAAACTTATTAAAAATTTAATCAAAAGATATTGTTATTTGTTATTTCAAATCAAAATTTTAATCAAAACTTTTATTTAATTGATATAATCATAAAATCAAAACCAAAATTAAGAGAAATTATATATCAAATAAAATAAACGTTAATTTCAAAAATGAAAAATAAATTTATGTTTCAAAAATAAAATTACTTTCAGACAAATAAAACTTTATTATCAGTTCTTGTGGTTCAGGTATATATAGTTTCAGATACTTTTATAAATTGTTACGTTTGGAGTTTACAAACTGCCGCCCCATTTGGCCATCGGGCCATTGAAGGGCAACTTCGGCGCCGACTTGAGATAGTTGGCGATCTGCGGCAGAGCACCCACTCTCTCGGCGTACTTCTTAAGATTGTCCACTTTGGACACCTCTTCGGGCGCCAACGCCGACAACTTCTCCAACACCTCGTAGGCAAAGAAGTCCACATAAGTGACGCTCTCTCCTATCATTTTTACATAGATTACATCATTAGATTACAATCGTTGATCCGCACGCATGGATCAATTGAAGGGATGAGTCAATACAATACCTGCGAGGAAGGGTCGGTCGCCGATGAATTGATTCAAGAGTTGCAGACTTTGGGGCAAATTCTTAAGCCATTCCACTTTCAGTGTCTCGAAGTTCGGGTCGTAACAGATCCGACCGACACCGGTGTTGATGTCCACTATCTGTTGCTCCACGAGATCCA